GGGGGCGGGTTTATGAAAGGCGGTGGGCGTGGCCTTAGGGTGGGCGGTTTTCCCAATGGTTGGTGGGCGTGGCCTCCCCTCGTTCTGCTGTTTCTCTTGGAGGGGGGCGCGGAACGGAGCGGTGAGAGCGGGACTATGGGTGGGGGGAGGGGGGGGGGCGGGGGGGGTCCTGGGTTCTGCTCTCCCCTCCCCCTCTTCCCCAATGCGCCCTTCCCCAGATTTAACCCCACATTTAGGGGGAAAAACGGGGATTTCTGGGAGAAAACTCCAGATTTAAGGTGGTTGGGGTGAGGGCGAGGGTGAGGGTTCTGGGAGAAAACCCCGTTTATTGGGATTTTGGGGTCATTTACTGGGAGTTTGGGGTCATTTTGGGAGATTTTGGAGTCTTTGTGATTTTGGGATCATTTTTCGAGGTTTTGGGGTCATTTATTGGGATTTTGGGGCCGTTTATTGGGATTTGGGGATCATTTTTGGAGGTTTTGTGACTGTTCATTGGGATTTCGGGGCCATTTATTGGGATTTTGTGGCCGTTTTGGAGGATTTTGGGGCCCTTTTTTCGGATTTTGGGGCCGTTTCTTGGGATTTTCGGATCATTTATTGGGATTTTGAGGTCATTAATTGGGATTTTGGGGTCATTGAGTGGGGTATTGGGTCATCTGGGGAGATTTCAGGGCCGTTGCTTGCGATTTTGGGGCCGTTTCTTTGGATTTGGGGTCATTTGGGGAGATTCTGTGGTGGTTTATTGGGATTTCGGGGTCGTTTTGGGAGATTTTGTGGTCATTCATTGGGATTTTGGGGCCGTTTATTGGGATTTTGGGGTCATTGAGTGGGATTTTGGGGCCATTTATTGGGATTTTGGGGCCAGTTATTGGGATTTTGGGGTCATTTACTGGGAGTTTGGGGTCATTTGGGGAGATTTCGTGGTCATTCATTGGGATTTTGGGGCCGTTTATTGGGATTTGGGGGTCATTCATTGGGATTTTGGGGTCATTTTTCTAGCAGAAAACAGGGATTTCTGGGAGAAACCCCCGGATTTAAGGGGAAAAGCAGGGATTTCTGGGAGAAAATGTCCTGTTTTGGGGAGCAAACTGGCAGAGCCCCCGCTGATCAGAGCGAGGCCACTTTGGCCTCCCAGCGTGGTTCCCTGCAGCTCAGCCCTGGGCTGCAGCAGCCGAGCGCCGGCTGAGGCCAGGAAACCGTCCTCGGTGCAGCGCTAATTGCGGTTGTCCTCGTTACAACCAGCTGTGCTCTGTGATTCGACTTCACTGTGAGGAGCTTCACCTTCTCACTGGCAGGGATTTGAGGAGTTCGTAGCCACGACGGCTTTTCCCCCTTTGAGCTTATTGTTAAGTTACTCTTTTTTCCCCCCTCTCTCAAATCTCCGTCTTTCCGGTGACTTTTGCTGACATGAGTCCAATTTAAGGCCTTTTCCCCACCACGCATAGATTCCCCATAGATTCCCCATAGATTCCCCATAGATTCCCCAT